GTTTTTCAAACTGTTAGACCAATTTTGTTACTTGGGATGAATAAAAGCACTTCCCACAAAGCAATTTGAAAAACCAGATGTATTTTGTGGCAAATATTGGTTCACTTTTATGTAAACGCCCTAATAATTATCATTATTGTTCCACTGTGACTACATTTAATATATTGGATTTCTGCTTAAGATTGTATTTATATTTGGAATATTGAAACGATCGTATATAAAAAGCACAGTGTAATATGTTAGATAACTCTAGCTGGTTCAAACATCTGTTAAAAAAAGATAATTGTGTGTATAATGATTATGTATTTTTCAATTACAGGAAACGTGAAATCTAATTGTTTGAAATTGAAACTGAAAGATGGAAATTGAAAAGGGAATATTATTTCATTTCTGACTAGATTCTCAATTATTTTTTACCGAAGCTGTAGACACAGTAGACACATGTTCTTTTACTGTAATCCACAAACTGTTCAATGTTCAATAGTATTTTAACCCACCTCCCCAAGAGCTATAACCAATATTAATATTGTTTTCTTTCTTTCTGTAGGTAGGGGGGGGCATGACTGACCAGATGATAAATATGATGCAATGCAATATTATTTTATACCCTATGGTGAAATTATTTTCTAATAAACTTAATAGTAGGTTGATAAAATGGTCTGATGAGAACGATATTACATCTGACATCTGACGCTCAAACGGATTTTCGCTCTCGTGAGGGCATCGTTGATGCAATTTTCGCTTTACACTTTATTATATACAGTTGCCCCGTAGACGTTCAGAAGGCGTTTGATTATATGGACAGACCTAAATTGTAGTACAAAACAGGTAAGATTGGCGTCTTCGGAAAAAGCATGTAGGCGATCAAGTCTATATATAGTAATATTGAATCTCTCACCGAGCAGAAAAAAACACAACTTGCAAAAATGGCTTCTCTACGCTATTTGTTTTTTACTCTATTGTCTTTATTTTTTATGCTTATGTGAGAAGTGGATCTTTCTTGCTAGCGAAGTATGGGGTTTCCATAAAGCTACTGACAGTGATAAGCTCAATCTAACTTTTGTAGAAATATGCTTAGTTATACGGTCTACATAAACTGTTATGGTGCTTTTCAATTTGAAAAAAGAAAGCATTTGTGTAAATCAGCCTCTCCAATTATTTGCATTTCAAAGGGTCATTACGGCTTCAAATACAAGTATGTGTTGCAAAACCGAATTCGTGAAAACTGGGTAGTAAATGCTCAGCCAACAAAGAATTAGAACTGCTGGATTTTTAAATTAATAAATATGTAAACAACTTTGTAAATAAACTAAAGCAAAAGTTACTTTAAACTTTTAAACAGCAATGGGAGTCGTTTTACGCTTCCACGCATTAACGACTTTGATACAGAGAAGTTCTCGAGTGTTAATCTTTGCAAACAAATCTCTCAGACAAAATACATATTCTGAAACATTCCACGCCAATTTTAAAATTCACCTGTGTGAATTAATAATGAAGATGAAGATTTCCTTTGTTTATTGTCAGAATTTGGAATCGCATAAATAAGTTGCATGCAAATGCATTTTCTGTTAGCTAATGAAATATATAGTTAAAATGGCATTGTAAGAACTTAAAATTAATGTTCGTACTTGTTTATTTAAATGAACCGTGTTGTTTCGATATCAGTTAACGCTGTAGTTAAAACATCAAGAAACTTAAGTTTTAAGCCAATCAAACATTAAATATTAGTTGGAACCCTAAACATCGCTGTGCCTTAAGTGTCGGCGGCATTTATTGCACAAGTAAGTCATTGGTATTTTGGCAATTCAAGAATCATGGGATAATCCCCAAGGACTGCTCATTTTCGAAATGTTACTACATTGTCTGAAATTGTTTTCTATTTCTAAACAACACAATCTATGGGATAGTCATTCCAGGAAGGTCAAGTTCATCTTCATTGATATTTACAAAAGAAGGACCTACATTTTATAACGAATCAGTACAATATTTAATAAATCTACATCCGAGGACTTTATTCTTTTGCAAGTTTGTATATGAATATGTTTCAGTTGATAAAATCCTTAAATATGCATATACAATTGCAATAGCTTTAATCATGATGGACAAACATAGTTTACAGGTATATACAGAAACCCATCATATAGGTTACGAGTATATACTGCTTTATCAATCCAACGTCCTCAAAACTTGTTCATTGTTCATGTGGAAAAAATTAAGGAACAAATCTGTTCATTTAGCTAGCTCTTAAACAATTGCTGATCAGGAAGCCTCGAACAAGATATATACTCTTTTATGAATAATTCTTGTTTGCCCGTGAAAAGGTAGGAGTAATCAGCCCGCCCACATGTGATTTGACCGAATGTTTACCAATATATCTATGAAAAGTACTGATGTCTTGCTTTGCTTGATTGACAGCGCTGTTCGTGAATGACAAATCAAGGTCTACTGTGTATTGTAGTTACAACTAACGTCATCCGTATATCTGATGTTCCTGACTTATCGCGTGATAGGACGTGGTGCGCACTGATGAATGTATATACCGTTATTCGTCTTAATAACGGAGAGTTATTATCTGAATATAACTATTTGTAACGATAAACGAAATGTTACAATCGACATGCTATGCTTGGATTGTTTTAATCACAATAATGTTACGACTCATTGTGTGTTGTGTTCTGATGTTAAAACACATGTAATTCCCAGTGGATGAAGCGGCAATCCTCGTTAAAAGTTTGGGTTTCCTGGTTTAATCTATATCCAATATCGCTTAAGCTTTTTTGCAATATTCTAATTTGGAGATTGCCTTTTGTGGTAGGAGCGGCTCTGGGCCCGGAACAGTTATCGTTAATGATAGTTATAACTTCACTGCGTACACAAGTTTGGTAATGTTTATTAGATAACTGGAGGTTGAAAAGGTCTGTGGAAATCATTAATATAAATACCTGTATACCGAACTTTTATTAAAATGCTATTACAATGTTACTACAGTGTCATCAACCATATCCTGTATATCACGATAACTAGAACAGTAAAACAACCGAAACTGCGACAATAAATCTTGGTAATCTTCTGTTTCCTGATATCATTAGTTTACTTACAATTGTAATCACCGAGTAAGACTGCAGACATAGACAACTACAAAGATGCACGCTTTCACACAAAGAAATATAACCAACGGACAAGTTTTGTCAACTATTTAGTAGTAATAACATTTTATGATATTTGTTTATGATGTTAAACGCTTGAGTTTCGTCAAATTGTCAAATACATGATGCGCTGACATTTTCTATGGAGCCTGTAGTCGTTTGTACACATATGTCAAACCACACAAACTGTTTATTCACTTGTTACTTATGTTTTGGAAAACGACGGATGGCAAAACAAATATAAACATGACTATAAGGTTATTGCCCTAGGCATTTATAAATAAACGAAGGGTGAACTAGCTGAATTCTTTAGATTTCGGTAACGTGCATTTATAAACTCAATCGTTTATGCAATTTTTAATGTTATAATATATTACAATTTATAAACTGTAAAAAATGTTACCCATCACAACATCTAAAAGAGAGTTCATAGTTGATTACAAGCCATTTGATTATTTCTCAAAATAAATCTACACGTGCTTATTCACCTTGATATTCACCATTGACAAAGTACATGCACGCCTGCTTATTTCCCTAAACCAAAGTAAATGGATTTTGCTTAATCTCTTAAATATACAGAATAGACAAAGTACATGCACGCCTGCTTATTTCCCTAAACCAAAGTAAATGGATTTTGCTTAATCTCTTAAATATACAGAATAGACAAAGTACATGCACGCCTGCTTATTTCCCTAAACCAAAAGACAAAGTACATGCACGCCTGCTTATTTCCCTAAACCAAAGTAAATGTATTTTGCTTAATCTCTTAAATATACAGAATAGACAAAGTACATGTACGCTTGCTTATACTCTTAAATATACACCATAGACAAAGTACATTTACGAAAGATGACCCCCCTAACACACACTTCAGTAAATGATATGGGCATTTAATTTAGTATCACAATTTATCATGATTGGTTTGTGATTATTTCTGTTTATCAACATACAAGTTTGATTCGTATTTCACACATATGCTGATACAGATTACTATTATACCGCCAGACGGAAATTGAATTTGAAATTAGACTGAGCGAAAGGAAATCGATTCACAAAAAGGGGTTTTAGGATGTCGGTCTTTTAAGATGTATTATTTAACTTAAAGTATCAAAGTAATTTATAAAGGATTTAACCACAAGAAACGTCGTTCACACAACAGAAAAGGTATACACACAATCAATTACGAACAGCCAGTTCGAGCCTAAGCATACCAAACTCGGCAGACAGCAGATATTTCTATACGGGCTATATAAGAGCTTATTGAGAGCATCATTACTTGCGATATGTTCAAAACAGATTTTTAAAATCCAAATCAAGAAAACTGGATATTTTTTTTCCTTAGGAAAGGATTCCAAATGTGATATTAAAAAGAATATTTTTATTTTATGATATGTTACATTAGATATTGATCCCTCGTGAACCCCTTTGTCAAACATCAGCATATATCGTAGAACAAATATTAAAGATTTGGATGATAGTCAGTTCATAAAATTAAGGGAAAGCTTTAGCATGAAGTTAAGTTTATCACATGTCAAAATATTAAAAAAGGCTTTGTTTTCTGTTTTGACTGCGCTGCATTCTTATAATGTACCTGTCCTAAGAAACATCAATGCTAAAAATAAACATTCTAGTACAAAAAGTTTAAGGGAATACAGAAAGTTGACCCGTAATATAAAAAAAACTAACCAGTGGGGAATAGTGAAATTTGACAACGTAGAATGCACAGAAAAATGGTAGTACAATTACACAAATGACGCGCAGATAACTGTATGACATGATACAGACCGATTCAGCTGATTTTCTCAGAAAAGGCAGATTCGTTTTGTTTAAGGAGGGAAACGAAGCAAAATGTACCTGTTTCTTGCTTTTGTTATCGTCTTTCGACTTTCTTGGTGTTGTTACAGTAACCATCTCACTGCAGCCGGAATTGGTCTTGCTTAGTTCGCCTTTTGATCTAAAGGAACAACAAAGTAATCAATCAGGGTGTTGGTCTTACGTCCCCAATGGTAATAGCGCTTGTCGCCGTAAATCAGAAAGTCATGCAGCCGTGCAGTAAACACGCAAAGAGAATGGCCACATATAAAATATAATCACCACAGTTTTACTGGTCAGGCATCGATAGGTACGCTTAGAAAATCGTAGTAACGATTTAAGAGATTCGCTAAAAGGTTTGTTTTCAAATGATCGCTAAAGAACAATTTATAATCCGGTAAAGAGCGAAAATTTAATACATCTCATATTGATTCAATGGACACATTAAGATTTATAAGCCAGCACTACATGAAGTCATTCAAACGCAATCACGCAAAAACATAATTTAATCAACTGGAATGGTTCTCCCGTGAAAAAGTAGCACCCCAACGAGAAGAACGAGTTAAATCTGTCAGGAATATATTGACGTCATAGCTTATATCCGTCAGGAATACTATGACATCATAAACACAAATCACACACCCTAAAAAAAGAATCTGAGGTAAGCGAATTGTTACTGCTCTATTTGGACAATTCAGCAATAAATTTCGAAGTAATGCGGTATAATGCAAATCGGCAAAAAAATAAGGAAAATATATGTACAAATTTATAAATATATACTTAACTGTTTTATGTTTTCATTTTCAGAAAGATATATGAAAAATTATAAAATCAGAAACACGTATATCTGCAAAACATTAACGCTTTCAATGATAATATCTTCGGACGCTTTACACAAAGACAGAAGTTTTGACATTGAATAGACTTTTGTAATGATACTTATTTCCCTCTCTTTATAACGTTGCAATATACATTATTCCTTTTATGAATGACGTCATATCTGACATCGATGTGTAGCTAAGTGTAAAGCGTCTGATGATAGATAATTAAAGAGTAAATACTTTACAGATATACGTGGTTCTGATTTTTATTCTCCATATCAGTAGATATATAATTTCTCGTTTGAATAACATCATTAAACAAAACAAAATATTGATGAAATCTGATATTCCAGCTGTAAGTATGGTTCTTCAAAAAGACAGAAAATCTAAATTATGAATTAAAGACACGGTAAGCAAAATTCTCTGCCAAAGCTTAAATCGAATCATTTGACATACAAAACAATTCCTGGAATGTCAGTTTCAAAGGCATTCTTACCACTGATATTATCAAACAATCTGGGTTATACTCTTCGACTTCTCGAATGCTGCTATCTCTTTGCATTCATGTAATGTGATCAAAACGTTGCCCCAACATGTCTTTTATTTATTCCGATTGTTTTTTTACGGAAACGTGTCGACTGTTGAAGACGCGATCTGCCAGGAGCATAGTGATGTCTTACATACAAATTCATCATAGTACAATGATGTGGTGGACAACCAGGATAAATGCAATATTTAAGGAACCCTATTACGTCACAGATGCAGTTTGATTGGAATAAAGTAACGTCATGGACATACACTGCCAGGAACACTCTAACGTTAAATTATAATCTGTCAGTCACACAGTAACGTTATGGACACTATCTTTTCGAAATACAGTGACGTCACGGACAAATCTTACATATTAACATTTTCTCGAATAAGATTACACATTTGCAAACCGGGTAACCTTTCTTGTATACTTACAGACAGTGTCATTGTTGTTACATGCTTACAGACAGTGTCATTGTTATTGGATGCTTATAAACATGGTCACTGTTGTTTGATGCTTACAGACAGTGTCATTGTTGTTAGAGCTTACAGACAGTGTCATTGTTGTTAGATGCTTACAGACAGGGTCATTGTTGTTAAATGCTTACAGACAGTGTCGTTGTTGTTGAATTCTTACAGACAGTGTCATTGTTGTTACATGCTTACAGACAGTGTCATTGTTATTGGATGCTTATAAACATGGTCACTGTTGTTTGATGCTTACAGACAGTGTTATTGTTGTTGGATGCTTATAAACATGGTCACTGTTGTTGGATGCTTACAGCCAGTGTTATTGTTGTTGGATGCTTATAAACATGGTCACTGTTGTTTGATGCTTACAGACAGTGTTATTGTTATTAGATTCTTACACACATGGTCATTGCTATTAGATGCTTACAGACAGTGTCATTGTTGTTGGATTCTTACACACATGGTCATTGTTATTCGATGCTTACAGACAGTGTCATTGTTGTAAGATGCTTACAGACAGTGTCATTGTTATTAGATGCTTACAGACAGTGTCATTGTTGTTTGATGCTTACAGACAGTGTTATTGTTATTAGATTCTTACACACATGGTCATTGCTATTAGATGCTTACAGACAGTGTAATTGTTGTTAGATGCTTACAGACAGTGTCATTGTTATTAGATGCTTACAGACAGTGTCATTGTTGTTTGATGCTTACAGACAGTGTTATTGTTGTTGGATGCTTATAAACATGGTCACTGTTGTTTGATGCTTACAGACAGTGTTATTGTTATTAGATTCTTACACCCATGGTCATTGTTGTTGAATGCTTACAGACAGTGTCATTGTTGTTAGATGCTTACAGACAGGGTCATTGTTGTTAAATGCTTACAGACAGTGTCATTGTTGTTGGATGCTTACAGACAGTGTTATTGTTATTAGATTCTTACACACATGGTCATTGCTATTAGATGCTTACAGACAGTGTCATTGTTGTTTGATGCTTACAGACAGTGTTATTGTTGTTGGATGCTTATAAACATGGTCACTGTTGTTGGATGCTTACAGACAGTGTCATTGTTGTTGGAGCTTACAGACAGTGTCATTGTTGTTAGATGCTTACAGACAGTGTCATTGTTGTTAAATGCTTACAGACAGTGTCATTGTTGTTGAATGCTTACAGACAGTGTCATTGTTGTTGGAGCTTACAGACAGTGTCATTGTTGTTAGATGCTTACAGACAGTGTCATTGCTGTTGGATGCTTACAGACAGTGTCAGAATTGCTGTTTACCTACATATGCACAAAGAATGTTAAGTATACTTACGGACAGGGACAGTGTTGTTGGGAGGCGATATTCCAGAGCTCCTTACAGATGTTGATGTAAGCGAAGGACATGACTATGACGGGGATGATAAATATGACCAGCAACATGAATACCTCGTATAGGATAGAAAGTCCCAAAGATTGGAAGTTTTTCTTACACCAGGTTGCCTTTCTGTGTATTCCTTGAATCTCCATGTGTTCCTGAAACCCAAGACTAGTTTTCCTGTATAGTTCATCATAGATCAACATTCACAAAAGAAGGTCATCGGTATTCCAACATCATCAAGGACAAAAGAAATCACCATCTCAGGCATTCAAACAACAACTACAAAAAACAGTTACCACATGTGCTTCATCAAACACACATATTACATTTATCGCAGGCGTTCAACAACAAACACACATTACAGTTATAGCAGGCGTTAAAATAACAATAACACATTACAGTTATAACAGGTGTTTAAATAACAACAAAACATTACAGTTATAACAGGTGTTTCATCATAAACACACATTACAGTTACCACATGTGTTTCAACAACACACACACATTACAGTTATAACAGGCGTTAAAATAACAATAACACATTACAGTTATAACAGGTGTTTAAATAAGAACAAGACATTACAGTTATAACAGGTGTTTCATCATAAACACACATTACAGTTACCACATGTGTTTTATCATAAACACACATTACAGTTACCACAGGTGTTTCAACAACAAACACACATTACAGTTTCCACATGAGTTTTTAAACACTAAACACACATTACAGTCACCAAAGGAGACCAAAACGACAAACCCACGTGATAGTTACCACAGGTGTTTCAACAACAAACAAATATTACAGTTATCACATGATTTTAAACGACAAACACACATAGGAGTTTCAACAACAATCACACATGACAGTTACCACAGAAGTTTCAACAACAATCACACATGACAGTTATCACAGGAGTTTCAACAACAATCACACATGACAGTTACCACATGAGTTTCAACAACAATCACACACGACAGTTACCACAGGAGTTTCAACAACAATCACACACAACAGTTACCACAGGAGTTTTTAAACACGAAACACACATTACAGTCACCAAAGGAGACCAAAACGACAAACCCACGTGACAGTTACCACAGGTGTTTCAACAACAAACAAATATTACAGTTATCACATGATTTTAAACGACAAACACACATAGGAGTTTAAACAACAAACACGCACTACAATTACCACAGAAGTTTCAACAACAATCACACATGACAGTTATCACAGGAGTTTCAACAACAATCACACATGACAGTTACCAAAGGAGTTTCAACAACAATCACACATGACAGTTACCACAGGAGTTTCAACAAACACACATTACAATAACAACAAGTGATCTATTAACAAATACATATACCAGCCCTTTATCGCAATCATAGCGACGCTACACATAAATATTTTATAAAAAAAAAATGAAGGGTAGCAGTTCTGTATTGAAAGAAGATGGCCTATTCATTATATATAAGTTATTTCCACATTATTTATGTCACCGTTGTCATTTCATTTATATATTAATATATTTTGTTCATGATGTAGTGATTCACAGAAAGCAGGAGACAATATTCTGAATGCAACCACGGTATGGGTAGTCAATAAACACATTGATGAGATTCAACGTTGTTGTATGCAATAGTTGCATTTAAATTCTGTGTAAAAAGAGAACACTGAAGAGTAATAAATCATCTGTACACGAACAAGTACGATGAGTTGTAGACAATTCGTGTTCCAGTGAAGGACATCAGATAGAAAACCACGCATGTTTTCAATGTTTATGACATCAGGGTCATCATCTAAAACTACAAATTTTGGTTTTTGCCATTAATACTCGCGATAGTCTGGCTCATTGATATGTAACTTAACCACGGTTAATACTGCTGGGGCATGTCAGTTCCAGTAATGCAATATCTAATAGCGATGGACAAATCTAGAGTGAAAAAGCAAGGTGCCACTCGGTGTTATTGGCCAGGAAAATGTGACAAATGTTGGGTTAGCGCCGTCAGCTGTCGCAATCACGTGCCGCCTTGTACAGCCTGCACCCACACCAGGACTCTTAAAGGAATCCACAAAGTTATTTGATTGGAAACATGGAACAAAATAATGCAATTTGGGTGGTCCATTTAGAGACGATATCTAGAACCTGACACATTAATCCAATCTACGGGCAATATTTCGTTCCCCGTCAACTCGTGGTATCTATAAATGCTTCAAAATAATTTCTGTCTACGATTTTCAATTAAATTTTCTCAAATTTGATAAGAATTTAGATGGAGTGATAAATCAAACAATTAACTCTTGGTTACACCTTCTACAATTTCTGACTCCTGGTCGTCCAATATTAAACTCTTTAGATAAATACTATCGCTGGTTCCATTGCATATTGTTTTCATGGCATAAGATTGGGTAATCCAACGTATTCATAAAAAGTAACTTGGCCTGATATCATGCTGTCTCTGTAGGAAATTGAGTTCGGTTCTAAAAGTATAAAATGATAGAAATCGTTCTGGTTATGTTACCTTGATGAATTGTCGTGTAGCTGCAATGTAATTAATTAATAGAAAATCTGAATTCCTATAGCTAAACACGTAATCTGAATTCCTATAGCTAAACACGTAATCTGAATTCCTATAGCTAAACACGTAATCTGAATTCCTATAGCTAATCACGTAATCTGAATTCCTATAGCTCAATACGCAATCTGAATTCCTATAGCTAAACACGCAATCTGAATTCCTATAGCTAAACACGTAATCTGAATTCCTATAGCTAATCACGAAATCTGAATTCCTATAGCTTAACACAAAATCTGAGTTCTTATAGCTGAACATGAAATCTGAATTTATAGTGTTAAATACGAATTTCGCGTTCCTGTAGCTTAAACACGAAATTTGAGTTCCTGTAGCTAGAACACAAAATCTTCATTAATACAGCTTAAACACGAAATCTTAATTCACATAGCTCAAGCATGAATTTCAAATGTCCTACAGCTAAAACACAAAGACAGAATTACAACAGCCAAGACACAAAGACAGAATTACAACAGCCAAAACTCTAAGTTTGAAATCCTGAAGCTAAAACACAAAATCTTTATTCATTTAGTTAAAACATGAATTCCAAATGCTTACAGCCAAAATATAAAGACTGAATTACAACATCTAAACCATAAAGATTGGAATCCCTAAGCTGAAACACGAAGTATGAATTCCTATAGGCAAACATATAATCTGAATGCCCTCAGCTAAAACGCAAAGTTTCAATTTCCATAACTGAAATGTTAATTCATACTAATAAAACAGAAATTAGGTACAACAAAAAATGAATATGAAAATTCTACATTTATAATTAAAATACAAAATTTGATATTCATGTAAAGAAACACGTCTGATTTCAAAAGATAGATTTAATAAATCTCAACCAGGCTTAAACAAGATTACAAGTAGTGTTTTGTTGGCCCCTTTGCTCAATGCTTTTTCTTTCATTCTAAACAGGAGTCTCAACTTGTAAGCGTGACATTCAAAATATTTGATTTTTTTTTCAATAAGCAGGAGTTGAAGTCCCAGAAAAGCAAGAGACATTGTATTAAGGATGCCTCGGTGACCGGGATAACTGGTTATGGCGCAGAGTCGATACTACTGGTTGAAATCAGGCGTGAGTTCAGACCACCCTCTCTCCCAAGAATTTTGCTTCGATTCTCAAAGGTGGCGAAAAAAGGGAGTCAAGTCTGAGGGAGTCAAGTGTAAGGTATATTGTCACTATTGTGTATTATTGTATGATTTGCCTATTGGTGAGGGTAAGGCATTTGTTTTTGTATTAAAGTTATGGAAGTGTGACGTAAGTTAGTTATTTTAAAACGAAACAACACCGGTGTCCCTAAATAATTGTATTCGGTTAAGGATGTACTCTTCTGAGGTTTCAGTCACGTTCAAGTCTCGTTTTGATCTGGTGTAATGGGTTTTTGTAATATTTAACAAATTATAATAGGTATAATAGCAAACACACATCTGAAAAACATGTAAAAAACTAGATGTCTGTTGTGTGTAGAACATTTTTTATAAGAATTTTTAAAAAATGACCAATTTGGCGGCCATTTTAAAAAAGTGTATTTATGTGAATTTCTTGCGCTTCACAAAGGGCCAAAATTCACCTTTTTTGACACTAGATTGATCACTTAAATTGTCATTGCGTCTCCATTTTTTATTGTAGCAGGTTCAATTTTGCTGTACAACTTTATAATGTTCAATATGATTAAAATAAAATGCAAAAAAGTGGAAAGTTATATATTATTGATATTTTTTTTTTACATATTAGGGTAACTGAAGCACTTTTGATTTTTGACCCCGAAAAAGGTGAAAAATAACACAAATAATAATGGGACAAAAAAAGAAGCACACCGACCCCCTATTTTTGTGGCTGTTTTAGAAAGAGAAACACATTTTTTTTGATTCATTGAATACTAAAAAAAGTTTATTACAGATTTTTTTTATATCAAGTGTTTAATCGGCAAAAAATGGTGAAAAATGTGCATTTTTTCATTAAAAAAATAAGGGGTAGGGGTAACTAAAATCGCATTTCTTAGTAAAATGAATAAGTTTAAGACATTTTACTTCCATAGTTTCAAAGAAAATAATATTTTTATCAATTCTACAAACATTCATACATATCTGATAACACACTTGGAAGAAATTGTATGAATTTGTTCTGCAAATGGTCAAAACCCGAAAATTCACCTAAAATCACATATTGTGTTAAACTGGTATCTTTGACCGATCATAGCACAAAAACGAACACACCGACATATAGTTTTTTTTGCATTTTCTACTATGTCATTATCTCCTTTTTCCAAAAATCAATATAAGAAAAAAAGTTTAATACAGGAATTTTTTGACTTCTCAGAGGTGTACATCCTTAACTGTTACGGGTTATTTAAGGAGCTTTTGTTCCGTCGTTATTCAGAAAAGTAGACCCAGTGAGATTTGTATTTCTTCCACCCTTCACAGGTTTTTCCCCCTTTTTTGCTGGGAAAGATCAGCTTGTCACCCACTAGGGTGAGATAGCCTCGTACCGATTAGCACGTGTTCGATTGTTACCTCATTAAAATGCGTCACCGGTAATTGTGACGTCATCAAAAGAGAATGACGAAATTCATACCCCAAATATGTTTTTGTTTACACTACTGTCGGTGGAGTTGTGACTGAAATAATAGGATGGGAGAAAAACAATCATCCCCTACCTTGAGGGTGTGACAGAGAAATCTCAAACCCTCGGGTGAATTTTTTGGATGTCTAACCCTCGGCAGAGCCTCAGGTTAGACAACCAAACATTATCACCCCTCGGGTTGGATATTTCTCTAGCACACTCTAAAGGTAGGGGATGGTTCTATTAGTCCAAGGTTGAGATTAATTTCTTTTAACAGCTAGTGAAACATTGTCTCTCTGATAGATAATTAAATTGTGAACTACTACTTGTTATAAACATATTTGATACATGATACACGATACAATCACGATACTTTGACTGGACGGTTTGCTATAATACTCTAGGGGGTGCTGCTGCTGCCTGATTTGTGGCCCCAAACCGTCTGTACCGGGTTTAATCATACTATACATTACTATCGTGTCCTTGATGTGATGAGTTTGAACAAATCTGTTGCTATGGTAACGAGATGACCACCACTCTTGGAATGTCTTTGTTTGGTCCATGTTAATATTAGAGCTGTCTATGCTCACGCTTGCGTTCTTCTATCTTGAGGATATGTGTTTTCGAAATTTCACTTAGTCTAATTTAGTAAACAACAAGTCACATGTTTAAGGCTTCAATATATTTTAAATACAAATTCTTTTAGCTTTTCATTATACAAACAATTTGCTTTCTCTGGAAGAGATTGCCAGGTTTGAGACACTTAGGTCCACCCTCTTACATAAACAATACATACTGATATACTGTTATTAGTGTTTTAGCATTCCCTTGCCACTGTCTCCTCACTGCGTTATCATTCGGTATCATATTAGTTCCTTATCAGGCCGAGGTATTAATATTATTGTATCATCCTCAAAGTAGTATATATGTACGTTTTACTCATCAATGTTCAATATCTTCTTTCAATAATTTCTTTCAATTGCATATGCTCAGCTATAAAAGCAGATGGCATTTGTTCATTCTATCAACCAACCTCTTCAATCTTTGAAAACTGTTTTTCAATATCCTTTCGAAATGAAAGAGAAAATCAGAAAGATTCCCATGAGTTGTATTATGGATGTGCTTGATGTCTGTCGCTATGGCATATTCTCTACGAATGCTTATCTTGAGAACCAATTATCTCATGCAGATGAAAAGTTGACCTCCCCAAGCAATCGCTATTTTCCTCTACACACAGTTTGGCCGCAACAAGACAATGCGGAGAGCAATAGCGAACATGTGCAACTTGAACGTATGAAAGTTAAATGTTTCTCGATTGTATTGCCTACTTTTACGACTCAAATATATGCAACGCTTCGCTTTATGGTATAGAAGTGTGTATATATCACGTTCTCGTGACGAATTCAATGCACTGGTAACAGTAGTGTTAACAGAATCAAACTAATAATAATAACAAATAAATTTTCCGTCGATATTTAAACTTTCATGAATATTTTATCAGATATTCGTAGTCCAAGCGGAAATCAATAGACATAGCGAGATGAGGAACACATCATTGTATAAGAAATCACTGTTTGTTGTTGTATTCTCTAAAATGAAATAATTGTAAACTGCCACATTCTGGTTGCAATGCTTTTATATTATTATTTTTATCATTTATTTTGGTATGTCTGGCATATTAGAACTACATATTAGAGCAGAATCGAAACTATATCAACGGCTGAAGCATCGACCACTCAGATTATCGACCTTTAGAGAGAAAAAAAAACAATGTAATGCATTTAGTCACTCTAGCGTTTGAAGAGGTCATAGGGTTTATGCTAGTTCACATCTCGTTAAGGACACAGTAGAAAAGGGACTTCACATACGTTGGTCGCCTCTAATGATCATACAGTTGTCTTTTCTTTCGCCTCATACGATCTTTCTCCGAACCATTCCGTTGGAATATATATTCACAAATTGTAAATATCATTAAACGCCGTTTGATTATATCTGCAAACTTTTGAAAATATGAATTTGGATCAAAGATTTTGGCCCAACCCTGTACACACAATAAATTTGTATGGCTAAGAAGAATGTATGAGTATGTAATCAATGCCATATTTGACAAAACACACACTTAAAATTGATGTGGTAACATGTTGTGCATCTTTTCTAAAGATATTCACCCTTACATATATGTGTTATGTAATTCGACATGGGGAAGTATTTTCTATCCAAGCGGAACTTAAAAATATCTAATCTATGTTTATTATCCGTCAAGAGAAAATATTTATGGCAACCATAACGTGAATTAATGCTTCAGTTCATACACTTGAGACGTATAAATTGGCAATATGATGGAGGAAATAAAACACAATTGAATATGTCCACATGCCACTTATCCCCATGTTTCGACTACCGTCTGTGTTATCAACTATCGGTTGTACGGGTTGAATTAATTGATTCCGGAATAATGGCAAGAAAAGCGATACTTTTCCTTCTGCACAAACAACTGTATGACGGGTTGCAAAACATTTTTTCGTAATATGTTTATACTACGGGTATGAGAAAACAAATGAGTATCATTTCAAGACAAGTCGGATTATAATGAGTAGGGCTATAACTTTTGGTGTATTTTGTAGATTTTAATGACAGCTGGTGAAAGAGTTGTTTACATGGCACTCTCTAAGTGTGAGAAACAAAGTAGATTTCCCCCGCCAATTGGTTGGCATAAACCGGCTACTAATTGGGCGATATTTAGATATTGTTCGATTTCGCTCGAATTTGGTATCTAGCTTTATCACGACATTGCGAAATATAACAGGATTCTATTTAGCAGTTCAACAAGATCACCGCCATAGACAGGCTGCTGAGTGGCCAGAATTAAGATACAATTTGATTCCACCGTGTTCATGTTTTTAGGTATATTATGACACTTTGATCTCTTACGCGACTTGCGTATACCGCAAAATAAAATCAGCAAACAAAATGATCACATTGAAATGGTTTTTGATTGTTCTAAATTTAGATATCGTAAGGCTTTTCTCAAATTTGGTACATTTTTACGTTGTTGTGAACTGATATTGTGATCTTTTTCTGATGCATCATTTGTCATTGATGGGACATTTTCGAGGACTCATCTACCGTAACGACCCCATTGCAATAACAACCTTTTGCTTTTGCAGTTGTTATGGTTTCCCTCTGTTCCTGCTTTTGTCTTTCGTATCAACATTGAGTTACTATGTTCGCATTGTGCTGTCTTTTTGGTATAACACATTGACTTTAAGAACATCCTGAGGATGGCATGATTGTTTGAAAATATTCCTTAACTCATAAAGCTCTTTCAATGTACATGTATATGTTTATAAATATAAAGTACCAAGAGCTACATCAATTATTGGCGCTCCATCATGGGTGTAGCTCTTATCAATATTCGTAATTTTATCATATGATGTATTCATAAACTAGTTTACAGGTCAATGATAATTGTACATGTTTTCTACGTACCCTGCCAGCGATGATTGGCGCGGCCAGCACGAACGCCGCTACCCACAGAATGCATATAAGCCGCTTTGCCCTTCCGACTGTACACACGTACTTGGCTCGAACAGGATGAAGGATTGCGTAGTACCTTCAACAGATATACAGAGAGTAACTAGCACATACATAAATGTACTCAAAATACCGTTTGTTCACATTAAATTTATATAGACAATTACAAACCCTGTAGAGTATGCAGGCATATTGTCCGCTTTTCAAAACAATAGATGACATTTTGGATTTTTTAAATATCGCAAATACACAAAGTGCATGTTAAACTGACTTAACACCTCCTAGACATCCCGGAGTTGAGGGAAGGGTGCGAAATCAATAATGAAAATAGAAAAAGGAGGAATTGATATAAGCTCTAAGCTTGCTTTCAAATCCCTCTGAAAGTATGTTATAACCATGCCTAATTATTAAACAAATTGCTGTTTAAACTAAATGTGCGTCTTGTTTCATTTTCTCATCCAACAATAAAATTGTTGCCGTGTCCTCTGATATTTGACACATTTCTGAATGTACTCCAAGGTGATACCAATGACCATTCTCTTAGACTGCTTTAGCTCAAACTTCGATGCTGCATGTATGATATTGCAAATTATTTCTCGTGTTTTATTTGCGACCTCAGGGGTAGTATGGGAGACTGTCTTAATTATTTGTTTTTGTATGTTCTGTTGCAATATTATATCCAAAACTGATTGTTTGTTGGCCTTTTTTTAGCCCCTAACCACCAAAAGTAATTAAAACAAATTGTGTTGCGATAGGTATGGATCCAAATAGCAATCACCGCTTCTACTACTTTATTATAAGTAACCTTTTAGACAGTTTGTTCTATCGTTCAACGTAACGTAATTAAGCACTTGGGGCAAATAAATGCTCTGATTGTACCTCTAAATACTGTTACTGTTGATATCAACAAGTGTTTTAATCTAACAGGTAGATACGCCTGAGGTGTACCATTGTGTAAGTTATTGTCTCCCGCGTTTCGTTAAATTAATAATGAGTTAACAGAGTGTTAAAATAGGAGCAATATAAATTGTTAATTTTATAACATAACTAGGATTTAATTGTCGATAGGAGAAATATTTTTAATCTTTTCCACATACAGTGATTTTCCACTAACAGATGTAATGCAGTGAAATATCCAGGTTTTTTTTATCAGCAACATCGGTCCTGACAATATGAAAAATATGAAATACGAATTATGAATTATGTGTTTCATATTTAATGAACGTCGGTTCAAAGCGTAATCTAATGTATTTTATGTACAACACTTATTGTTTTACTAATCGTATGTATATGATCTGCATATTTGAAAGTAGCGTGGTAACGTGCAAGTTATATTTATTATGATTTTTGTTTTTATTAGCATTTCTATTTTTATACTTACGTAAGACTTATTTACTTTTATTACACAATGATGCAAGATTTTAATATTAGAAGCATGCATTGTATTTGATATTTGTTCATCATTGTAATAATGTTACAATATCGGGCTTGTGAGTACATCAAAGCCAACTGATTTCAGGAGTAGAAGGAATATTGTAAGTACATACATGTATATCATTCTGTTGTAAATTGACCATATTCTACCTTCCCATCCATGTTCGTGTTATTTTTTTACATTTCTAAAGCCTTTTTTTCCTTGTGTTTGATTTCTTTCCCGGAGTAAAATTTATAAATCTATGAATATTCCTTATCAAAAACAGTGTTCTTTGTTAACATTTATATTGATAATTTAACGTAGAAGTTCATAAATTCATTCATTTTGCAAACAATATCTTGTTCATCATACATTTCCGTTCCAGAGACAATTTTAAAATGTTGGTTTATTCTTTCTCTCAATGGTGTCCTGATTTTCTTGATTGCATCTAATAACTAAATAATTGATCAATTTATGTAATTTTCCGTGCTACATTCAGGTTTCCTTTTAGTACGTTAAGTGAAATGACATTCTTTACATCTTTAATAGTCTGATATTGCAATTGTCTTTCATTCTTTCTATGTGATTTTAATTGCATTTTATTTTATTTAGTTTAGATTAAACATGCCAAATAAGAACGCGTTTTTCCTACGATCCCTATTGTGGTAGTGTTTCAATTCAATTTATTGTTTATTTAAATACCATTATTCATTATGATCTACTTCAAGGTATGAAGGTCAACAAAGTGCTGATCGTTTACTCAACGTTTACTTAATTTCCAAGTTTGCCGATCAACAAATTTAAGCAAAGCCACAGCACTGGTAAGTTCCTATCACTGCCTGGTTTAACATGTAAATGTACAATAGGAGTTATTAAACCGTCGGGCCACACTCTAGTGTTATGTATCAGATAACTTAAAGTTCGGTATTAGATAAAACATACAGAATGCCATTAGCAAAACAAACCTTATCTAAGTCAGCTACATGTTTAGGCTTGTATTCAAACACCTATAGTTGACTTTCTTAGTTTGCAGTTAGTCTTTTCTGTGATATAAAGTCTATATTACAAGAACAACAAAATGAAACCCTTCTCGCAATGATCGTCCAATCGATAGTCGGTGTTTCAATACTTTTTTAGAACAATTCAGATGAACCTATTAATGGCCAAGCTTTCCGTTCGCCAGAGTTATAATAAGGCAGAAGAGACGAACTGATTTTAGGACTAAAGAGACATGTTTAGTGTTTAAGTATGGTTATATTGATGTATCGTTATTGAATGGCCTCCAATGTCGGTGACAAACATGACGAACTAGCTATTTTAAGTATGAATATAGGAAAGTCATCTCGATTCCGCAATTATTACCGAGTGTTGTCACCCACGATGTCTGGTAAAAGGGATGATGAATGGCTAGATTATTTTTCAGTATCTATAAAGTATTTTATATCTTCTATGCTTGTCTCAAAATTTGACAAATCGATAGGTGCGTACAACAAGAGTCATGTTCTGATTCCAACCGCCTCTCTTTCAGTCTTTCACAATTTTACTAATAAAAAAAACATTGTGCCAACATCCCATAATTCATAGATTTAATTAGACATTGATCAAATGAATGATTGATAGATTTTATTTTTTTCATAAAACATTCATCTCAATTATTACATTAAACATATTTTCACAATTTCCATTTGAATGAGGTCAACACCTAAATAGCTATGAAGATCAGTTAATTAATAAACACGTTTTTAGCCAATGCGTTCTTCCTTCATCCTAGCTCTTCGTAAGTCTGTGTTAAAGAATGAAGAGTAAAGCGGACATCATATGTCATGCAAAATTGACACAGCCATCTGGACTTGTTTGATGAGGGTCCGAGGCAAGTTATAACCGGAACATGGACTTAAACCATACAAACCAACCAACAATCACACGGGTGTTTAATGATTTTGTTTAAACTACGACAAAAGTAATAAAGTATCACTTGTGAATACCATATCGAGTACATATGCATTATCATTAAGAACATCGCCTCGAGTATCAAACCACATTGAGGGAACTCGAAATCAACGTTACTTACATGTATCTTAAAATCGAAATATCCAATTTGTTAAAAGGTTGAGGTAAACTGTTTGTGATATATTCCAAAATCCGCTTGTGTTAAATTTTGATACATAAATCAAAACCATGGGCTAAATACAATCAACCACTCTTAAGAAATCACAAAATACCACATACTTAAACCTACCATTTTCATACAAATGTTGCGATAAGTTTCAGTAAAATGATTAGACTGGGCATAAAACTAGATCGATGTCAATAAAAAGGGTACTTATGTAAATAAATGTTATATTTATGAACTTCGAAAAAGAAAATTTTACCAACTGTAAATAGTTATGATATGAGTATATCGTTACAAGAAATGCTATCCAACATTTCCACTCAAATTCTAATATAAACAAAAGCGTAAATGTTGACGAGTTTTATACTATGCATCCCTGTAAATAGTGGTTTTTTACAAGAATTATAGGATTTGTATCTACCGTCTACAATACCCCTAATTAGATTATGGTTTCTACAGATCTCAAATCGCACAACGTTACATGAGGGGCGTATGGTGTGTGCACGGTGTGCTCACGGCGAAAAGCTGCGATAATAGATTGCGCACAACAGTGCAATGTGCAATAACTTCGCACAGATCGTAGCTGATATCTATTTAGAACTGGCTGGTGAATAAATTTTCTGCATAAAGCTTAACAGACATGATTAGCAAAGGGAAGATGCAATTGTGTTTTGATAACTGTTCTACCACCGATCAACTCTAATCGGCAAAAAGCTCGATTTAATCCACTTCGTGCTGCTTCTGTATCTGACAGCGCAAACCCAGAATTGATAGCTTTACAATCTTTGTAATAATGTGTAACATGCATTGCAGAGTTAGGTAATATGCAAATTATACCGAACGGAAATTAAACACGTATATGGTGTACATGTGTTTTCACACGAGTCTTCCGGAAAGAATTCATTCCGGAATATTGATCAACTGAGCTTACCATATAGCAAGTATGTGAACGTCTATCCTCCTAAAGGGCAACCGACTGTATAGTAACCAAATCACCGTTTAAATCACCAAGATGACAACATTTTGTGTGATGTCCATTGTTAGATCTATAGACTAGTTGTGCTGTATCAATTACAAAACTTGTATTTGACAAAATATTCCGTATTTATATCACTCTTTTCTTAGAATATTATAATGAATCTAAAAGACTTCAAGTAAGAGAATGCTCTTCTTGTTCTCATAAACAGTTCTAACTAAGTTCGTGTCGAAAAGAGGAATGAATGTTAAAATCGTCAACACACATTTTGCCGTCATGTTGTATTTCATTCAGACAAATGATGCTTAGACTAAGACCATAGGATGGCATACTTTCTCAGAAGTACGATGTCATACGTGTTAACAATATCTGCGACACAATCTAGCATGTGTTGAAAACTTCTCGTACCGTATAATTGTATATTTTCGTGGGGCCCAAATTTCGTGGTTTCCTCAAATTCGAATTCGTAGTTCACGAGTACCCAAACATACGGAAAATGGCTTGATGTCAAACCACTTCCTGGACTTATGAGTGATTTCACAGTCATCAAATAGAAAATCGAATGCTCACAAATTC